TCTATTTATTATAAACTATTTATATCTATATTTTGGAAAGATAGGGGTGTTTTTATCTCACAAACAAGACTTGTTAGTCCTCAAATTGAATAAAACACTAATTTATTACAGCGTGCCAGAGGAACTAAATGACACTGCTAAGCATTTGTTAGTAAACAGTAATTAATTTGTTCAGTTTCAAAATAATTTAATTAAGCGTCTCCCAAAAATGTTTTTGTTACACTGTTTTACAGAACATATAAGATGCTGACTTCAATGTTGGTCATAACAACCCTGCTGAAAAATGCAGTTTAAAGCAGCCTACTGTAAGCTGGTTCTCCCAACCTGCACAGGTTGGTCTGGTTTGCAGATTTTAGAGGGGTTTGGGGTACTTAGCCGGTTAGGCTAAAAGACCAGCTGCCTGACCAACTAAAGACTAGGTTGGGCAGTCTTGAACACCATCTAGAACATTTGAAATGCTTACGATGCCTTGCAATGTCTAGACAAGCAGCTCACTAGGTTTTGAAACAGAGTGTGCAAATTTGTGGGAATGGGCAATTGATATCGGCTGAATAAAACATTGATAAAGAGTACAAGAAGAGGGAAGGGTTAAATGTTCTAACCGTCCTGTAGTGTTGTAATGGCTTCACTCTCTTCACTGTAGTCACTGTCTCCAATATCATTAGTGGCCTTCACTCTGAACTGATAGGAGGTGAAAGGCTTCAGTCTGAAATAAAAATCAGTCACACAAGTCAAAACACAGGCCACTGCTCAGAATATGCTTTGCGTAAAGCCAGTATAAAGTTACAATGACTAACAAAGTAACGTCACTTGTTAATGGAAAATCTGTGCTGTGAAGAACTGTGACTTTATGCACGAAGGACTTTTGAATCAAATCACACAAAACTTCCCAGCAGATGTCTTTTGTACCTGTCAACAATGTAGGAGCTGGACTCGTGGCTAACAGACGCAGAATGAATGGTCCAGTTCTTCTCAGGCAGCTCTCTGACCTGAACCGTGTAATACCGGACAGGAGATAAACCGTCACTGCCGGGTTCCCATGACAACAGCACACTGCGCGCCAGTACATTTTCCTGCGGGACTGTGGGCCGGCTGGTGGGCTGTGGCCGAGCTGGGGGTCAAAGGTCAAGCATAAGCACACTTAAAACCTTAAAGCCAATAATCAAACACATTCCTATCATTTTTGTGAATCCATTTGTTTAACGTCAATCATTTATTTGAACAGTTCATATAAACGATTCACTAGACCCTTCACAGAAGGCAAAATATTGAAACGTTTGTAACTCTATACTATCTATTACGTTTTATCTTGTTTTATGAACTGCATTGAATCTGATACATGAAAATGAATTTAAAAATGATCATCTCAAAGCTATATTCAAATTTTTGTCCATAAAATTATCTTTAGAATGTGTTTGTCCCCTTACCCTGATACTAGTAATAGCAAATGACAATTTAAATAGCTTCTATTTAGTTTTTAATATATTGAAGCTCATTTAGTTGAGCTACTTTTGGTTAGCAATTTTAATGTAGCAAACTACTTTTTCAAATAGTAACTTAATTGTGTAACTACTTTAAATTATGAGTAACTTGTAGCCTGGAAAGCTAGCTTTAAATTATCATCCCAACCATAGTTGTATGTGTGCAGTCATACAATATTATCACTGCTTCACTGCACACTTATAATCCTGCAGAACATGGTTAATGTTTTAAAAAATACATTCGATTATGGAGAATTTATGACTCTAATATTACATTATATAAGCACACTTTACGGGTCAAAACCTCTAATATCTACGTTGGATCAGTGAACTGCATAAATAATCCAAAGTCTGATTATAATGCTTTGTAAGAAGAATGTGCCTTTGC